AAAGCAATTCAATCATCGTGGTATTAGGTGTGGGAGAAGGGGGAGCAAGCATGAATGCAAACAACCAACTGACAAAAGGCTTAACATCTGGGACTTCCAACATTGTACTTCAGACTTTGGAGTACCTAAGTGAAAGCCCAGTCCCTGCCTCAAGGAACCTCTGTGATACTGCTATGATACTGCTATAAACAGTACAGGGGCATTTTTATTATCAATAAGAGAGTAAGCCCAGAACACTACTTAATGGAAAATTGTTGTCAAGGCTTACAAACTATGTAAGTTCCTTTGTAATATACCTGCACATAGGCATAAGGCCAAAATCTAAGAGGAAGCATGCAAAGGTCCTCTCTGGCTCAAAGGCAGCCAAATTACCATATTAAATCTAGCTATCAGTATAAAATTCAGTAACAAGTGGAAAAAAAATGGGTCTCATATATACGTTTGATTGGAAATGTGAAGTTCTGTTTGGATATTGATTCTGCCAGCCCAGTTTCCTCTGATGTAGATAATGTCATATTTTCATAAAATTGGGGGGAGAATTTCTATTTCAAAAAGTATGCATACATACATGCACACACACAGTGATTCAAAAATCTACACAACGATATGTTAGCTGTAATTATCTAAGTGATGTGATTATGGATGGTTTTTATTTTCTTCCATTTGCTTCTCTATTTTTTCAAAATTTCAACAATGGAAGCACATTACTAATAGGAAAAAATATGGTTAAAAAAACTTATTAAGCACTACCGACAAAACATATGAAACAAAAACAATGTGAGAGGAAGCTCTCAGACATTCACACCTAAATGTGAACTCATTCAAATTTCTAATGCTGAAGGGAATAAAACAGATACTTACAAATTCAAAAATTGAAGATCAGGGTAACTGGCTTAATTAAATTCAAATAGCTGTTAAGTGACCACACTAGGCACAGAGTACCCAACAGAAGGATCTGAATAGCCAAAAGGAAGCATGAAGGTGCTGGGCTCTATAAGAAAGGAGCAAAATAAGGGGCTGAATGCAGCCCAAAGCTGAGAATTCTGCCCCCACCTTCTTCAGAAGGTATGGAAAGCTATCTTGTCAGGACCTTAATCTTAATCTTGTCAGGACCTGCCCCACTTCCCTTGCTAATAGGAAAGCCAGCCTTTAGCAAGTGGGCCCCTAAAATCTACCTCCACTCTGCTAGCATTTACCTACATGCTTTTCTTTTTCACTCATTTCCCTGAAACCCTTCAATGGCTGTCCAAAACAAGGCCTACAAAGCCTTCCAAGATAGGACTCTTGCCTTATTCTCATCACTGCTTTCCTCATAGCCAGCATCCCAGCAATGAGAGCTACTTACAGTTCACCATACTTAGATCTTGTTTTATTAGCTATTCTGTGCCCTTTTGGGCCTTCCATTCCCACTTCCCTGCTTCTTTTAACTGACTTAATTCATGTTCAATCATCACATCCAAAAAGCTTTCTCTAAACTCTCACCCCCATTCCTGGGCTGGGCTAGGTGCCCTTGTGCAGAGCTCTCAAATAATTGCACTTAGTCACTGCCGTGGGCCTAAGTTTATGTGTCCATCTATTTCACTAGATTCTGAGCTCCTGAGGGCAGAGACTAGGCACACCTTACTCACCTTTGTACCCCAAACATAGTGCCTGGGACATTGTAGGTATACAACTTATTCTGACTAAATTACTAGTACTCATGCACATTTGTAGGAATGGAGCCCCTCTTTGATCTTCGGTATAAATCCAGAGCTCACAACTACTCAAATGCAGAGCTGAGACTTTCTCCCCCAGTCATAGTTATCTGGAACCCCATTTCCCAAAATCAAAATTTCTCCCTTTCTTAATCTAGCACTGATTAAGGGCTTCACTGAAATCTGGCTCTTCTTGAAAACTCCTCCTCCTGCAACTTTCCCACGCATATGTTGCTCATTCCCTCACATCCCATGTACCCTGGTATCAGTGTCTTCTTTTCCTCAAAACCATTTCTGAACTATTACTCCTTCAGTATCACGTAAATGTCCTTGTCCCTTTGACAATACCACCCTATACCCTTCCTCGTTCAGGTAATTTAACCTCCACCATTCATTGATAGTTTGGCACCTGGCTTAGTCTTCCTCTCCCTCCTCAGTCCTGGAGACTTCATTGTCCATGAAAACATCCACGCTAGCTTCTCTGCTCTTTGACCATCTCAAATGAATTGACCTCTACCCCAACAGGCCTACTAACAAACCCTGCACTTGTCTTGTCCCCAACTGCTCCACTCTTGAAATCTCAAAGAGCTCTCACTGACCTTCAGTCCCTCGCCCCTTCTACATTCTCCCTGCTATCAACCCCACCTCCACTTCAATCCCTAGGCAGTCTAGACTCCATAGACATTACTCCAGTCACTTTTGCCAAAGTCCTTAACATCTTCACCTTGTCATCCTTTCATCTCATAGAGCAAACCCCAATCCTGGATCAATCATCTCCCATCTCCATTCCTACAACAGAATATTGAGTACTACAGGACATCACTCAAGTACTCTAATTGCTGCCAGTACACATTGTCTCTAATCTCAACTGGACCCTCAAAGCTGCCCGTGACCCCCAGTTTGCCTAGTAAGCTCTCCATCTTGTTCTACAGTTGATACCTCAGCATTTCTCCAACCTCCTCAAATCTCCTAGCCTACTACTTTCCTCTTCACCTTCAGCAGACGATCATGAAAGAATACCACAGAAAAAAATAGAAGACATCAGGCAGGCAATCTGTCATCTTTTTACCTTAACACCTGCAAATTCACCTACGTGATAAACATACTTTCTTCCTGGCAAAATGTTAGAGATGTGCTTCTACCATCTATGATTAAAATCTCCAGTGTGTGCTTAAGCTCATCCTTCTGGGTCTTCATAGGGATCTTGCTCCATCATATATTCTTTCTCTTCCTCCCTCCTTTCTGACTCCTTCCCATATTAGTAGTTCATGCTCTAATTTCCCTCATCCTCCCCCAACACACATGTACAAAAAATTCTGTCATCTCCTGTCCTTTCTTTTACATCCAGCTTTAGCTTATTCTTCTCTACTTCACAGCCAAATTTCTGGAAGACATGTTTGCTGTCCCTAGTTCTTTATCTCTCATTTTCTGCTGAACCCACTGCTAAATGGTTTCTACTTACCATACTTTATTAATATGGTTGCTCCCCATGTCAAATGTCTTCTTTTTGCCAAATCCAGTGGCCATCTCAGGTTCATCTTCTGGTTCCCTGGAAAGCCTCACATTCCTGGGCTTTCTGCCACCTTCTCACCTCTTCTTGATGATGATGGGATTTCCTTCCTCTGCTATGCAGTAAATACATTAGTCTGCCTCTGGGTTCCCTCCTTAGTCCTCTTTTCTTACTATACATTCACTAGATAATCTCTTCCACTGCCTTAACTACAATTAACATTTTTAAAAATTATGTCCAAATCTTTACACCTCTAGAACAGATCTCTCTCCTCCTTCAAACCTATAAATCCAACTGCCTACTGTTTATCTCTTCTTACATCTTTTATTATCTCATGGGCTATTCAATATTAAAATATATCTAATATTGAACTAATCATATCCCCCTTCCCTCCCCATGTAACTTTTCTTGTTCTTCCTCCTACTAGCTTATCTCAGTGACAAAAATCTGTTTCATTCTTCTCATCTCTCTCATCTTCCAATTCAATCAAGCACTAAGTCCTAACAATTTTATTTCCCACAGCTTTGGAGGTGCCTGGCTGGTTCAGTTGGAGGAGCATGTGACTCTTGATCTTGGGGTCACTGAGTTTGAGCCCCACATTAGGTGTAGAGATTACTAAAAAAAATAAAATAAAAAACTAAACAAAAAAACTTTGGAATCTAACCATGTTTCTCAATGTCACCACTGCTATTTAGCACAGGTTCAGAAGCTAGACTTCTCGGGGTTTAAATCCTCACTCCACTACCTATTACTCAGCTGTGATTCTGGACAAGTAGTAAGCTCTCAAATGCCTCAGTTATTATCAGTCAAAACATGTTACCTAACATTAGTGCAGACCACCATCACCTCTACCTTGGATTACTCCAACAGCAACTTAAGAGGTCTCCTGACCTCCAGTCTGGCCCTTCTCCAATCCAGTCTCTTCATTGCAGCCAATAATCTTTTCCAAAACACAGATCTCATCATGTTACTCCTTACTTTAAATGTATTAATGGTTCACCACTGTCTTCAAGAGAATGTTTAAACTTAACAATGCACAGAAGGCCTTTAAGATCTGGTCCCTGTTAAATACTATCGTTCTCTCTTATTCCTATCCTCTGCCTGTCATATGCAAACCATACTAAACTAATTGTAGGTCCTCAGACTTCCTATGGTATTCTTTGGCTCTGGGTATCTGCATATGCTGTTCTCCCTGCCTGCAAACCCTCTCCCTTCTAAACTCTTCTTCCCACCATACACATACTTGCTTAGATCAACAGATACTGTTGTTTAACTTCTTCTTTTGGGTATCACCACTTGTAAGCCTTTCTGACTCCAAGACTGGTTTGGTGCACCCCAACTAGGTCCTTAGCATTCCATACCTACCTATTTTACTCTTTAGATGTTAATCTCACTCATAATTGCTTGACTGTCTTTAGACTGTAAGTTCCTTGAGGATAGTGCTATGCCTTGTGCACCACTATATCCCTAATGATTAACATAGTGATAGGCACACAGTAGACTTCAATCATTATCTGGTGAATAAATTATTGAGTATACAGTGCTTGCACACCCTTTTAATGAACTATATATAGAATTTAAATGCTACACCTAACCAATCAAGTCACCAGTTTCTATAGCCCTTTAATGTAGAAGGGATTTCTTATTTTCTACTAATGTATCCTATGGAAGGAATGACCTGAATACAAATACACTACATTTTGCAAAATGCAAGTTATCTTAAGTAAGACTAATTTGACTGTTCTGTTTTAGAAGAACCTGTAGAAGATTACATTGACAAAATTCTTAACGCACAGTGAAAAGAGACAATAAAAGGAGTTTTTTTATTCAAAGGTATAACTGGATAAGTAGATTTGTTTACAACCATTCTTGCGAAATACTTTTTAAAAAAATATGACCAACTTCTTTGCAAAGAGCAGACACATACCTCAACTATGATGACCTAATTTTTGGTGGATAATGTACATGATTAGGCAGAAATAGGCAAGCTCACACTGGTAGATTAACTATCAAATACTCAGTCAAAACTCCGTTTGTGGACCCCGCTTCTTGATCGATTTCTATTCCCACTTCGTCTTCTACCATCTTGTCGACTTCCTGACCGACTTCCCTGTCGACTCTGTCTACCTGACCGGCCACCAGATCGACCACCTGACCGGCCCGACCGGCCGGACCGGCCACTTGACCAGCCACTCCTCTGCCTGGAGTTAGAAGACGTGTTTCCATCATAATATTCTTCAATTTCGGGTAACTTGGCTGGCAATGAAAGTATCCAGTCTGAATCATGCCACTCTGCCTGTTGGGGGAATTTAGAGGATTAATATAAATGCAAAATGGAAACCATAAGCAAGCATATGAGTACAGAAAATTCTTTTTTAATATCCATCATCTATTAGCTAAAGGCCATCTATCCATTTAAATTCAAAGTATCTGAAACAAAACTGAAAACCAGAAAACAAAAACAAAAACATATTCAAAGCTCATTCATTAAAGTTCCTAAATTTTAGTGTTAGGAGAAACTCTCAGGCTCATTTTGAGACTCATAATTTCACACTCAGTTTATACATTCTAAAAGAGAGCACACTGGGGCGCCTGGGTGGCTCAGTCGGTTGAGCATCCGACTCTAGATTTTGGCTCAGGTCATCATCTCAGGGTTATGAGATCGAGCCCTGCATCAGGCTCTGCACTCAGTGGGGAGTCTGCTTGAAATTCTCTCTCCCTCTTCCTCTGCTCCTCCCCCCCACTCTCACACACTCCCTCTCAAATAAATATTTTTTAAAAATTAAAATTAAAAAATAAATAAGAGAGCACTGATTTCTTGGCACAAAACAAGCAGGCCACTAATAAGTAGTGCACTGCTTTCAGTGGTTATATTGACAGAAGCAAGAAGTGAGAGCTAATGATGGAGACTAAAAACCTGTTGAAAATATGTAGCCACTGGAAATAATTTGGTATCGGAGTAAAGAACTCAAGATTATGCGAATCAGCAGCTCACAAGAGCATCACCATGTTATATCCTGCTACATTAACTATTACTCATTGTGATCATGAGTTGTCAAGGAAAGTGAATATTAAAATACCCTGTTGAGGGGGCACCTGGGTGGCTCAGTTGGTTAAGCTACCGACTCTTGATTTCGGCTCAGGTCATGGTCTCAGGTTCGTGAGATCGAGCCCCGAGCTGGGCTCCGCACTCAACGGGAAGTCTGCTTGAGGATTCTCTCTCTCCCTCTTCCTCTGCCCCTCCCCCTGCTCGCGCTCTCTCTAATAAATAAATAAATCTTTAAAAAAAAAAAAAAAGTGTCCCTAATAGTTAGATATACGGAAATATTTATGGGTTGAAATGATAGAATACCTACAATCTGTTTCAAAAGAATACATACAATTCGTAAACCCCTTCATCTGTTTCACCCAAACTGCCACCCACCTCCCCTCTGGCAACTACTAGTTTGTCTCTGTATTTAAAAATCTATTTTTTTTGGCTCTTTTTTCCTTTGTTCATTTGTTTTGTTTCTTAAATTCCACGTATGAGTGAAGTCATATGGTATTTGTTTTTGTCTTAATCTTACTTTATGTAAAATAAAAAATTATAAAAATTTATTTAAGTACACCAGGTGTCATATGGAAGTGTTGAATCACTGTGTTGTACACCTGAAACTAATGTAACACTGGATGTTAACTATACTGGAATTTTTAAGTTTATTTAAGCATTAAATAAAATATTGTTGTCACTTTCTCCTAGTATAATATGGAAGAGAAAGAGACAAAGCTGAGTTTGAAAAAAAAAAAAGCATACATACAGGAGAGTGGGAAAATGGATGGAAATGACATGAAACCATAAAACAAACTGGATATGAGCTGATCATTGTTGAAGCTGGGTGATGGGTACATGAATATTCATTATGCAGCTCTGTTTTTTATATTTGAAATTATTCATAATAAAAATGTTTTAAATTATGATACAGACTAGATATATTACATTAAGGAACGTTAACTGATTTCGGCATAATAATGATATTGTCACTTTTTAAAAATTCCTATTTTTAGAGAAACACACTCAATTATTTAACAGATAAAATTTTAGAAATACCTGTAACCTTTCTGACTCAGTTGTGGGAACATCAAAGCAAACACCCTAAAAGCAAAATGAAAACATTTTTATTCAAATGCAGATGAGTTGATTTTTTACCAATACACTAATACTTGCTGGTAATTTTATAGTAGCTAAAAAAGGGGAAAAGATAGGGTGTGCCCCATGAATGTTTGTAAGATTAAAAACAGCTAACATATAATAATGCATGACACAGAGTGGCTGCTTATTGTATTTTCTAAGTCTGAAAAGTAAACACAGTATCTAACAGGAATCTACTACTACTACTACTAAGAATCTAGAGTATTCTTCAGAAAAGTTCTTGTAGACACTGTAATGTTTAATGTATAAATTCCTTGAAAAATTTAGTGCCAAAAAGTTTGTTTCTATCCTGAAGAGCTGCAGTGTTTATCAGATAATAAGAATGGTATAACCCAAGATGTTTCTTTTTTGGACCTGGTTGCCAATAAATTGAAAGTTAATTTAATTCTCAAGTAAGGCAACTAGTTTGGCTTAAGGATCTTGTTATATTTTTCCCTCCCCTCCACATTTTTTCTGAATGAGTATATTTGTCTCATACTTGCCACAAAACATTCTTGATGGTAACAGTAAACTTTGAGAGAAATGATTCTTTCTAATAAACAATCAAGATAATAAATTCTAGGCTAGAATAAGCCTATGTAGTAAAGTTAGATAAATATCTTTTTTCAAACCATTAAAGAAACAGAGTCACTAAGATTAGAGATGGTTTTAACTCTGTTATTTCAAAAATGTATTAAAATACTAACTTACTTAATTATCCTCATTAACAACCAACAGAGGCCACTTAAAAGTCAATATTGAGTATTCTCTAAATAACAGAGTTGTTTAGCTATTGAAATCATAAGTTATTTAGTCATAGAATAAAACACCACACACAACCACACACAGTATGTATCCAAGAGCAGAAACCTGGATAACTTGGTTATTATACAAACTAAGCAGGATGACTTACAGCTTTCTAGAGGAATGGGTTATTTACATAACTCCCCAAATTTACAACGGGAAACAAACTATCACACAAGAAAACTGTATTATTCATCTCATTAGACTTCAAAAAAAGAAAGAACAAAATCTGTTAGACATTTAGAGTTGACTGAAAAGCTTTTCCTTGTCTAGAAAAACCTACCATATTTCCTTTTAGGAGGCACATTCTGGTAATTTGGGATACAGCATTACTACTCAGCTTTCTGTTAAGTTCTTTCCATGCACAGCTGATATCCTGTATTTCTTCTGGACTTTCCAAAGTCATGGTGACAAACCCCTTAAGAAATAAAAGTCACATTATCTTTGGAAAAAAAGCAGCAGCAGCAGGACAATGAAGTTCTAACTCTGCAGCCCTTCATGACGTCACTGTACATTTCTCATGAGCCATCAGTATAACATGGCTGCCAAAACAAGTAACTTTATTTATTTATTTATTTTTTTTTTTTTAAAGATTTTATTTATTTATTTGAGAGAGAGAATGAGATAGAGAGAGAGAGCATGAGAGGGGGGAGGGTCAGAGAGAGAAGCAGACTCCCTGCTGAGCAGGGAGACCGATGCGGGACTCGATCCCGGGACTCCAGGATCATGACCTGAGCCGAAGGCAGTCGCTTAACCAACTGAGCCACCCAGGCGCCCCAACAAGTAACTTTTTTTAAATAAAGATTTTATTTATTTATTTGATAGAGCAAGAAAGAGCACAAGCAGGGGGAGCGGCAGGCAGAGGGAGAAAGAGGCTCCCCACTGAGAAGGGAGCCCGATGCGGGGCTTGTTCCAAGAACCCCAGGATCACGACCTGAGCCAAAGGCAGATGCTTAACCGACTGAGCCACCCAGGCATCCCAAAAATAACTTCTTTAAAACTATATTAATAGAAGACTAATGTTTACAGATCATTCTTCTTTGTATTTCTGTAAAGACTATATATTTAATTCTAACCAACATGCTTTAAGAGATAATTAAACTAGAGCACCAGAGAAAAGATAAAGTAGTGAAGAACTGAGGAAATGCTGAAAGAGTCAAAGTTAGCTTGGAGTGGAAAAACAAGAAGACACAGATCTCTTTAAACTTTTGAAGGACTATTACATATCCAAAAATTACTTGTTCCGTAAAACTTCACTAGACAGCAAAAGGATCAACATGAAGAAGATATAGGAAGGGATTCATCTAATAATTTTGTTTTTTTTTAAGTCAGCTCTACACCCAACATGGGGCTTGAACTCACAACCCCAAGATCAAGAGTGGCATGCTTTACTGACTGAGCCAGCCAGGAGCCCCTCATCTAACAAATATCTGAGTGTCCCCTATATATGTGCCAGAGACTATAGTAAGTGCTAGAGATTCAGCAGTAAATAGTCCTTTGTCTCATGCAGGTTACATTCTAGTGTTGGGGGTGGGGATGGTGGGGATGAGGTGGGGTAGACAGTAAACAAATAAGCAAATATGTCAAATGCCAGATAGTAATAAGCATCATAAAGAAAAATACAGCAGGGCAAGGGAATAGAGAGTAAAGGGAAAGGTAAGCTATTTTAGACAGGGTGATCAGGAAAGACCTCTCTGATGTGGTGATATTTGAAGAGAGACCTAAATAAAATGAAGGAGGAAGCCATGCGGTAAAAAGAACGAACATCTGAAACAGTGCAAGTGCAAAGGTCTTGTGCAGGAGTAGGTTTATGTTCGAGTAACAAGTAGGTTAGGGTAGCCGAAACAAGCAAGGACAGAGTGATAAGAGATGATGTCAAAGAAGTATCACTAATACAGTTTCTAAGATATTTAATCAGAAGTTAGATAACCCATCTGCCAAAGAGGGATTCTTTTATTAGATAAGGGTTGGGAATAAATGATCTCTTAGGTACTTCTTAGCTCTAAAGGCTATCTTAATATTTTCCTAAAAGATATGGCTTAAGTATTTTCTTTAGAAGTACTTGATGGGGCACCTGGGTGGCTCAGTCGGCTAAGCATCTGCCCTTGGCTCAGGTCATGATCTCAGGGTCCTGGGATCGAGCCCCGCGTAAGGCTCCCTGCTTGGCGGGGCATCTGCTTTTCCCTCTGCCTCTCCCTGTGGCTTGTGCTTTCTCTCTTGCTCACTCTCTCTCAAATAAATACATAAAATCTTAAAAAAAAAAAAAAAAGTACTTGGTGGGTTACTAGGGAAAGGGTACTTGCTCACTGCTAAAGCATTACCCCACAAATCACTAATTACAAAGAGTAAAAGATACCTTTACAATGGGACTATAGGGCAGTTTCCATTGTAAACAAGTGATCAAACTAAGCATTATTAGTACTAGAACAATCTGACATTATATGCCTCCTACTGTGATATGGTATAAAGTACATAATATCACCCATAAGAGTACTTTGGTCCAAACGGTTTAAACTGAATGTAAAATCAAGCTTTGATTTTACTTCCAGTTTACAGGAAAGGCTGAATAAAGGCAAAAGTTAAATGATGTATGAAAAGAAAACCAGAAAAATCCAGGTAAGAAATTCTAGACTCTGATCTACACAACTAATCTACACTCTTCAAAAAATTAATCAAATTAATAAAAAATGATGGGAAAACAGTTCCAGATTAAGAGAAGCATAACACCAAATGTAACATATGAACTTGAATTGGATCCTGAATTCTTTTTTTTTTTTTTTAGATTTTATTTATTTGAAAGAGAGAAAGAGAGCACATGCACGTGCACAAGTGCGTGCATGGGGACGGCGGCAGGGGGCCAGATGGAGAGAGACAGGCAGACTCCATGCTGAGTGCATAGTCCAACATGGAGCTCAATCTCACAAATCTGAGGATCCAGATGTTTTTTAAAGATACACAGTGTGGGCGCCTGGGTGGCTCAGTTGGTTAAGCGACTGCCTTCGGCTCAGGTCATTGATCCTGGAGTCCCGGAATCGAGTCCCGCATCAGGCTCCCTGCTCAGTGGGGAGTCTGCTTCTCCCTCTCCCGCTCCCCCCTCTTGTGCTCGCTCTCTCTGATTCTCTCTCTTAAATAAATAAAAATCTTAAAAAATAATAATAATAAAATAAATAAAGATACACAGTGTGAGGGGCGCCTGGGTGGCTCAGTCTGTTAAGTGTCTGCCTTTGGCTCAGGTTGTGATCTCAGGGTCCCAGGATTGAGCCCCGCGTCAGGCTCCCTGCTCAGTGGGGAGTCTGCTTCTCCCTCTCCCCCAGTTCATGCTCTCTCTCTCACATAAATAAAATCTAATATAAATAAAATAAAAAATAAAGATACGCTGTTGGGGGGTGCATCTCGGTGGCTCAGTGAGTTAAGGCATCTGACTCTTGGTTTCGGCTCAGGCTCTGGTCTTAGGGTCATGGGATGGAGCCCTGCATCAGGCTCTGCTCTGGGTGTGGAGTCTGCTTGGGATTCTCCCTCTCCCCTGCTGCTCAAGCTCTTTCTCTCAAAAAAAAAGATACATAGTGGCAGGGGGTGGGGGGAGAGTTGGGACACATGAAGTCACCCCCAGCAAAATTACATTTGACTAAACCATTAATACTTGCCAGAGAGAAAACATTAGACACCCCAGATGTACTCCCATATACTATACCAAATTGTCACATGCAAGTTTACCTGCCCTGACCTTTTTGTTCTCCTCTTCCACCAACTCTCCCTCTTTCTCAATCTCTCTGTCCCCACCCAGACATCAGAGAGCTTTCTTGCTGAGAGGTCCTGTTATCCAGGGATTCTCCTCACTTATACCTTGATGAGTAGTAAATCTTTGAACTACTTGCAACCAGTGGGTCTGGTGTGGTTTGTTTTGACATCTGATACTAATCCAGCAGCGGGGCCAGGTAAGGTGGTGTCAAACTACACACATACCCCACCCGCACACACATAGCCGCTCAACATATACAGGTAATCCTAACTTTGCATGGCACTGTGTTAAATGCACAGAATCTATGCTTTGATTTGCATGGTTCCATGGCAACTTACAAAATAAAGAATAGGGTCTGGTGTGTAAGTTTTAGTTAACACAGTACTGTGCAAAGTGAAAGTCTCCTGTCTTTCTCTCAGATAGATGGATTATCTACGGTTCAATTTTAATCTTTTCTCAATCATACATGATTTTCTCACAGATTTCTACCTTATCAGAGGTGATCAAAGATCGTGGTTCAAAACTTGATGCACCAGAGATGTGGGCTAATGCTGCAGCCAATGCATCCACTGCCCCTTTCTCTTCTATCAATCTCTGAGCTGATGGTCGGAAAAAATCAACAGCAGCGTAAGAAACGGAAGCCAGAGACCTATGGTTTAAAAATAGTAAATTTTCTTGGTCAAGACAAAGGTAAAAGATTAAAGATAAGAGAATGAATGGGAAAAGAAAGAGCAACGTTTTCGTATTTTAACATAACTAAAAGTCTGCTGGTAAAACTGGTGATTAAGTTTTCTGATATTTGAACTAGGAGAGCTTAAAGATGAATAGCCTAATACAAAAGAAAAACTTATTCAGCAAGTTCAGAAAGCATACCTGATGGCATCCATGCTTTTAGATTTAACTAAATCCATTGTAGAAGGAACACCTACACGTTTAAAAGTAATTCCCTGAAAATGAAAGAATTACATTAAAGAAAAATGGAAGTCTTTACAATTAATTCCTAAATTCATATAGTTTGTTGAATTTCCATTTCTTGGACTTAAAGATTTCCAAGCCCCAGTAGATCAAAAGACCTGCTTTTTCTAATAAATCATCAATTACAAATTCTAGGAAGAAGAAAAAAAATTTAATTGCCCTTAGTTACAATCATGAAATTTCACTTGCAAAATAAAGCTGATTCCAAAAAAGGAAAAAAGATGCTCATCACCTCTATCAACTTTTTTTTCTTATTACCCTATCTCATTTTACAAAGTAGATGAAATAGTGTTTAAAAACACACATCATGAAAATAGGAAAAAATGTAAAATACCACACACATACACACAAAACAAGCCAAAAAAATGTATATAATTTCTTATAGAAACTGGCCAGGTACCATTACTCAATATAATCTTAACAAATACACCAAGACTATGGCAGTCACCCCTTTATAATGCTAGACTATGAGATACTGAAATCACAATGCACTTCTGATTTTAGAATCAAGGGAGAAACTCAAGGGAAAAATGAGAAAGTCAGCTCTTCTGTCTTCACAATAAAAGCTGTATCAAAACAAAGTCTTGCAGCTCCTATAAATTTAGCTCTCCACATGCTTCACATCCAAATGCAGCTTAAACTGAGAAAAGTTGTAAGCATCTATTTGTGAGAACAAATATAAAAAGAACTCTTTTCTAAGACATCATTTAGATAATAAGACTGAAATAATTTAATTCTACTTACTGCTTTTTGTTCCACATATCTTAGTTGACCTCTTTCTCTGGGTTGATAAAAACATATGCAAATCCCTGTCCGGCCAGCTCTACCTGTTCGTCCAGAACGATGAATATAGGACTCAACATCCTGAAAATAAAAAGAGACAATACATTTTTTTTAAATCTGGCAAAAAAAAAAATCTGGCAAGTGACAGTCATTCCAACAACCAAATAATAACGCTAATAACAAAACTACTACTACCAATGATAACATTTTTATTTCAAACCTATTGCTCTTTCAACATCCCGAAGAAATTTTATGCTGAATTTTCGGATTAAAAGGAATAGGATTTAAAATCTTTTTATCCACCTCATCCCAGGGCTCTTCATATGACAACTTTTTATAATCCCTTTGCATGATTCCATGCTTCAAATCCAAATAAAGAAGTTAATCATTTGCTAAGGCATCAGATTCTGACCAATTTAACACTACATTAGTAAAAAATGGCTAACAGCAAGAACAGATAACATATTTTTCATATCCCAAGCAATATCTTATAAATAAAATAGCAATTCACACAGCTGTTCTTATATTCCCTAAATAAAATTTCATTTCTTACCTGGGGAGGAGAACTTTGAATCACCAGATCAACCTCAGGAATGTCCAAACCACGGGCAGCCACATTGGTTGCCACCAAAACTTTAAAACTACCTTCTCTGAAGCCTTTCAGTGTAATTTCTCTTTGTGACTGTGCAATGTCCCCATGTAAACATTGGGCATTCTATTTGAAAAAAGGGAAAAAGTAAGTGTACAACTCACACTTGTAATTAATAGCACCCTAACACCATGTAGTCTGTGCTCTTTGTTGTTGTTGTTGTTTAAAGATTTTATTTATTTATTTGACAGACAGAGACACAGTGAGAGAGCAAACACAAGCAGAGGGAGCGGGAGAGGGAGAAGCAGACCTCCCACCAAGCAGGGAGCCCGATGTGGGGCTTGATCCCAGGACCCTGGGATCATGACCTGAGCCAAAGGCAGACGCTTAACGAAGTAATCTCTACACCCAACATGGGGCTCAAACTCATTACCTGAAGATCAAGAATCAGACGGTTCACTGACTAAGCCAGCCAGGTGCCCCAATATTCTTAGTTTCTGATAATTATAGTAATGCATGCTTATCATTCAAAAAGACCAAATGTTACAGAAAATATTTAACAGAGGGTGCCGGGGTGGCTCAGTCAGTTAAGCACCTGCCTTCGGCTCAGGTCATGATCTCAGGGTCCTGGGATCGAGCTGTGTCAGGCTCTCTGCTCAGCAGGGACTCTGCTTCTCCCTCTCCCTCTGCCACTCCCCCTGCTGTGCGTGCGTGCTCTGTCAAATAAATAAAATCTTACAAAAAAAAAATATTTAACACAAAATGTAAAAGCTCCCCTCAATATCAGCCTCCTAATAATTCACTAACAGTTTGGTGAATACTCCTCCAGATATATTTTTTTAAAACACACATACAGGGGCTCCAGGGTGGCACAGTGGGTTAAGCGCCTCTGCCTTTGGCTCAGGTCACAATCCCAGAGTCCTGGGATCGAGGCCCACGTCGGGCTCCCTGCTTAACAGGGAGTTTGCATCTTTCTCCCTCTGCCCCTTCCCCTGCTCATGCTCTCTCTCTTCCAAATAAATAAATAAATCAATCTTAAAAAAAACCAACATACACACACATACACAACCCACATGTAACAGCATACACTATAATTTATGCATTTACTTATAAAATGGGATCATACTACATAATCAGTTTTGAAACCTGCTTTACAAATTATCTTAGCTATTTTTCCACATCTATAACTCTACTTCATTTTTTAAAAACTGTATATGATTTCATCATATGATGTAGTACCATTTATTTCAGCACTATCCTATTGATGACCATTTGGATCATATCCAAAGTTTTCTTCACCTTTAGAAACAATACTACATTGTATGAACAATGTTGTACTTGTATCTCTGCCCGCTCGCCCGTCCCCGTATATGTGTATTTCAGTAGGACACATATCTAGAAGGTGAATTTCTAGGTCAAAATTATGAACATTTAACATTTTAATAGCTATTGCAAAACCGTGTTGTAAAAAGAGGTTCTGGGGGTGGGGGGCGCCTGGCTTGCTCAGTGGGAAGAACATGCAACTCTCAATCTGGGTGTTGTGAGTTTGAGCCCCACATTGAGTGTAGAGATTACTTAAATACATACATAAACTTAAGGAAAAAAAGGGTTGTGCCTATTTACTCTTCAACATTTACGAGTCTTTAGTTCATCCATACCCTACATCCATGTATATTATGAATCATTATAATCTTTGTGAATCTAATAGGCAAAAATGATTTCCCAATTTACATTTCTGTAATATTTAGTGAGGTTGAACCTATTTTTATACAATTTATATATTCTATTTGTACTGCAAATAATTTTTCTATTACAAACGAATGTCCTAGCATTCTAGCTATTAAAATTTAAAAGTTCAGGGGTGCCTATGTGGCGCAGTTGGTTGAGGAGCTAACTCTTGGTTTCAACTCAGGTCGTGATCTCAGGGTCCTGGGATTGAGCCCCATGTCAGGCTCTGTGCTCAGTGCAGAGTCTGCTTGACACTCTCTCCCTCTCACTCTGCCTCTTCCCCCTGCTCGCTCTCTCTAAAATAAATAAAATCTCTAAAAAAATTTTTTTAATGTTTTAAAAGGTTCATAATAATGATTTAACCCTAACCCTAAAAAAATTTTTTTAATGTATTAAAAGGTTCATAACAATGATTTAACCCTAACCTTAGTAACTAAGCCTAATGCATTCATGAGTGAATTCACCGAGTACTTGCTATGTACCAGATTCTGGAACAATCATAAAGAAACAACCCCAGGACAGACAATTTGACAGGCATTTTCAGTACAGTATGATATGTACTATAACCAGGTGCAGGGTGCTACTGGAATACTTAAGGGGGAAACCTAACTTAATTTTGTTTAAGGGGAAGTCAGCACTGAAGGTAAGACCTGACATATAATAAGAACTAGCAGGTAAAAGGAAGAGCAGGAGGCTAGGGAGTTCTGGGCAGAAAAAAATTTCATACATAAACAGTGTGTCTGGGAACTACAAATATATGAATATTACTGAACCATAGTGTGAAAGGGGAAAGTGATGAGAGATGAAGCTGCAAAGGAATATGAATTTAATCCTGCGGACAACATGAACTGAGTGACTGGAAGCAGGAGATTATCATGAACATACTTGCATTGCAGAAGGAACACTCTGGTTATAATGTGTAGAATGTATTAGAAAAGGGAAAGGCAAAAGCCAGGGAGACCCAGGTAGCAGGCTCTTGTAGAAATCCAAAAAGGTCAGTGGCCTCACCAAGGCAGTGGCAATGCCCATCTATTCATCCAATAACTATTTAGTGATCTACAACATGATCTAAGGATAAAATAGCAAACAAAAATAAGATCGCCTCCATCCTCACAGTCTATACTTTGGTAGGGGAGATGGAAACTAATCAAATAATGAGGCATGCAAATAAATTTAGCCAACAAGTGTAACTGATATTGCACCAGTCTAAGAGGCAAAGAGCATTTATTGATTTATTTTTAGAGAGGGAGAAGTGGGGAGGCAGAGGGAGAGAGGGAGAATCCCAAGCAGGCTCCACATGGAGCCTGACATGGGGCTTGATCTCACAACCCTGAGATGATGACCCGAGCTGAAATCGAGTCAGATGCTCAATCGACTGAGCCACCCAGGCACCCCATGGCAAAGAACATTTACAAGAGGACAATCTGACCTATTTTGGGGCAAGGAAGAATTCCCTGTAAGTGGTGCTCTGAATTTTTATCTGAAAGATGAGTAGGAGTTGCTAGGCAAGAAAGATTACAAGTTCAAGAGCCCTGTGGTGGGAGGAAACATGGCAAGTATGGAGAGCATGCAGAATGAGGACAAAGTATGATAAAATGAAGCTGGAAAGGTAAGTAGGGGCTAGGCCATAAATAAATTCAAGAACTATTGGTAGATGAAATTGGGAGGAGCTGGTGAAGGGAGGAGAAATGAAATATAAAGGAAAGAAACATTATACATGACTACCAGATTTCAAGCTTCTGAAACAGTAGTAAGAAAGAAATAGACCATTTTGAGGGTGCCAGGGTGGCTCAGTTACGTGTCTGATTCTTAGTTTCGGCTCAGGCCATGATCTCATGGGTCATGGGGAGCCTGCCTGAGGAGTCTCTCCCTCTGTCCCTCCCCCCACTCTCACTCACACTTGCTCTAAGATAAATAAATCTTCAAAAAAAAAAAAAAGAAACGGACCATTTTATTTTAAAAATTTTATTTATTTATTTGACAGAGAGATACACAGCAAGAGAGGGAACAAAAGCAGGGGGAGTGGGAGAGGGAGAAGCAGGCTTCCTGCTGAGCAGGAAGCCCAATGCGGGGCTCGATCCCAGGACCCTGGGATCACGACCTGAGCCAAAGGCAGACGCTTATCGACTGAGCCACCCAGGCGCCCCTGAAACGGACTATTTTAAACCATGGGAGATAGAATCCAAAATTACTTTGTAGTTAACTGAACAGCAAATGGTAAAGAAGAAAAATCAAGGGTGATGTGTAGATTTCTGATGTAGTCTATGGGTAGATGTACCATTTAACAATAGGGAATGTTGGGGGCGCCTGGGTGGCTCAGTCTTTAAGCGTCTGCCTTTGGCTCAGGTCCTGATCCTGGGGTCCTGGGATCGAGCCCCGCACTGGGCTCCCTACTCAGGGGGAAGCCTGCTTCTCCCTCTCCTACTCTCCCTGCTGTGTTCCCTCTCTCGCTGTCTCTGTCAAATAAATAAATAAAATCTTTAAAAAAAACAAACAAAAACAAAACAATAGAGAATGTTGGAGACAGAATGGGTATAGGAAAATAGAAAAGAATGAATTCAATTTTAGGTACCCAATAATGGGTTGCGGTGTTTGTGGCCAGTAGGATAAACATAGGTCTAGATTCTGGAGACAGAGCTAACCTGGAAAAAGATTTAAACATTATCAGCATATGCACAAGAGCCACAGGAGTGATTAGTTATATGCATCTACATATGTAGCTATACTTCTTTATTTCTATACTTATTGTCTGCTTGCTGTTAAGAAAACCATTGTGCTAAATGCTTTAAATAAATGACTTCATTTAAACCTTAAAAGTGGAAAAAATTTATTTTTAGTATCACTTATTTATTTATTTTGAAAGAGAGAGTAAGCAAGTGAGCATGTGAGCAGAGTGGGGAGGGACAGAGAGAGAGAGATAATCCCAAACAGGGATTCTGTGGAGCCTGACAGGGGGCTCGATCCCACCACCGAGATCATGACCTGAGCTGAAATCAAGAGTCGGATGCTTAACTGACTAAGCCACCCGGGTACCCCATTAATATCACTTTTTAAAAGGGAAACATGGGCAAAGAAATATGGAGTGACTTCAAGGTTACAAAGCTAGTAATACAACTGGGATTTAAACCCTAATATGTGTGACTCCAAAGTCTGTGATATAAATCACTATGCTCAGGAAGAATCCATCGAATGAGAAGAAACAAGTACAGACGTTAGATCTGTGAGGAATGCCAATATTTAAAGTATGAACAAGAATACAAAAAGAGGGGCACCTGGGTGGCTCAGATGGTTAAGCGTCTGCTTTCGGCTCAGGTCATGATTCCAGGGTCCTGGGATCGAGCCCCATGTCGGGCTCCTGGCTCAGCAGGGAGCCTGCTTCTCCCTCTCCCTCTGTCTCC